GAGGATAGAGAGGGTGGGTTCTGGCCTCCGTCCGTGTAGCAGCTCTGATCTCAGCAGACCACCAGAGAGTGCTGAGTTCTGGCCTCCCACTGGCCTCCCTCTGGCAGAGGGCCTGAGAAAGCAGGGGATAGCCTAAGAGCCCCCAGATCCTGCCTCCACATGGGGGTGAGCTTCCCCTAATTGCACCATACCCATCCTCCTATCTGGGATGTTGTGAGACCCCTCCAAAAGTCCCAGGCAGATCTGGCTTTGGTACGCCAAGGCTGAGATCCTAGCAGACAGCCTGAGAGGGTGGGTTTCAACCTCCATTGGTGTAGTGGCTCTAATCTCAGACCATCAGAGAGTGCCAAGTTCTGGCCTCCCTCTGGCATTGGGGCTGAGAACACAGGGGACTGCCTGAGAGCACCCAGATCCTGCCTCCAAGTGGTGAAGGAAGCCTGAGTGTACCTGACTGGAACCTGAATTGGGCTTCTGTGGATACCCCTGAATAACTGATCTGAAGCCATCAGTTCCCTCCAAATTAAACCTGAGAGAACCTGAACCCTGTATCAACCAGCTTTACATAACCAATAAAGAAAGGATCTAGGCACCCCGATAATACAAACAGAAGCATACTTCAACTTAATTCTCATATAAGAATCATAAACAACAAAAGAAATTTGCATGCCAAAATCACAACAAAAGAATAATAAGATGGAAAGCCCAAACACTATGTCCCCACTAAACTCCACCAATCCTGTAGAAGAGTTCTACAAAGGGTTCTACAAACCCAGGACACTGAATTTAAAAGAATCATCATATACGCAATCAAGGAATTCAACAAATTTGAAGAACACACGAACAAACAAATCAAAGAACTGAAAGAAGATAGGGATAAACTTCTGAGTGAATTCACAAAAGAAATAGAAATACTGAAGAAAACTCAGGTAGTAATGAAAAAGGAAGTGAAAAACTCAATAAATCAGTTTGAAACAACAGGGGAAAGCCTCACCACTACGATGAATGAACAGGAAAACAGAATATCAACACTGGAGGATGAAGTTGAAGAATGGACCACTCAAGCAAAGATTATGGAAAACTTAAAAAAAAAAACACCCACAGGAATGGACTATGCAAGAGATGTGGGACACCATGAAAAAACAAAATCTAAGGATCATAGGAATAGGGGAAGGAGAAGAATTTCAGGTTAATGGTATTGACCAGATCTTAAACAGGATTGTAGAAGAGAATTTCCAGAAATTAAGGAAAAACATCCCCATACAAATACAAGAAGCACATAGAACACAAAATAAACAGGATCAGAAAATAAAGTTAAACCAAGAAGAGATTAACAGCTTAAACAGACCCAAACATATAAGGAAATTGAAATATTAATACAAAGCCTCCCAACTAAAAAGAGCCCAGGCCCAGATGGATTTACAGCAGAATTCTACCAGACATTTAAAGAAGACCTCCAACCAACACTACTTAAATTATTCAAAATGATAGAAACAGAGGAAGAACTCCCAAATTCGAAGCCAGCATCACTCTAATACCCAAAGAGGGTAAAGACACAACCAAATAAGAAAACTATAGACCCATATCCTTAATGAACATAGATGCAAAATATTCTCAACAAAATACTTTCAAACTGCATACAGATGTACATCAAAAAGATCATTCACCATGATCAAGTGGGCTTTATTCAAGAGATGTGGGAGAATGGTTCAATATGTTAATCATATAAATGGACTCAAAGACAAAAACCACATTGTCATCTCAATAGATGCAGAAAAGGCTTTTGACAAAATTCAGCATGCATTTATGTTCAAGGTCCTAGAGGGAACTGGACTGGAGGGAACATACCTCAACCTAATTAAAGCTATATACAACAAACCCACATCCAATATCATTCTAAATGGAGAAAAGCTGGAAGCATTCCCATTAAAATCAGGAACCAGACTAAGATGTCCACAATCTCCACTCCTTTTCAACATAGTGCTTGAAACTCTTGCTAGAGTAATAAGACAGGAGAAGGACGTTAAAGGAGTACTAATTTGAAAAGAAGAGGTCAAACTATCACTTTTTGCAGATGATATGATCCTATACCTAAGAGATCCCAAAAGTTCCACCAGAAAATTCCTAGAACTGATCAACACTTTCAGTATAGTGGCAGGTTGTAAAATCAATCTACAAAAATCAGTAGCCTTTCTATATACCAATAACAAGCAATTAGAGAAAGAATACAGCAAAATGCTCCCATTCACAATCGCTGCAAAAAATTAAAATATCTTGTAATAAATCTGACCAAAGACACCAAAGATCTCTACAATGAAAATTTTAAATCGTTAAAGAAAGAGATTGAGGAAGACACCGGGAGATGGAAGGACCTCCCATGCTCATGGACTGGAAGAATTAATATTGTAAAAATGACCATCCTACCAAAAGCAATATATAGATTCAATGGCCACCTGATATTTGACAAAGGGGCCAAGAACATTAACTGGAGGAAAGACAGCATGTTTAGCAAATGGTGCTGGCAAAACTGGATCTCCACTTGTAGAAGACTGAAACTAAACCCCTATCTTTCACCCTGCACAAAAGTCAATTCCAAATGGCTCAAAGACCTCAATGTAAAGTCTGAAACTCTGAAACTCTTAGAAGAAAACGTTGGGAAAAACCTACAAGATATAGGTGTAGGAAAGGACTTTCTAAACTGGACACCAATAGCCCAGGAAACAAGGGTAAGAATTAACATGTGGGACCTGATTAAAATAAAAAGCTTCTGTACAGCAAAAGAAATAATCAAAAAAGTGAAGAGAAAACACACAGAATGGGAAAAAATCTTCATCACTGACACATCTGACAGAAGTTTAACATCCAGAATATATAAAGAATTCAAAAAACAAAGAACTGAGAAACCAAATGACCCAATTAAAAGATCTAAACAGAGAGTTCTCAAAGGAAGAAATAAAGATGGCTAAGAAACATCTCAAAAAGTGTCCAACACTGTTAGTAATTAAGGAAATGCAAATTATAACCACCCTAAGGTATCACCTTACTCCGATCAGACTGGCTAGGGTCAAGAGAACAAACGATAACCAAATGCAGGTGAGGATGTGGAGAAAGGGGGACGCTCATTCACTGCTGGTGGGATTGCAAACTCGTGCAGCCTCTATGGGAAACAGTGTGGAGAACCCTTAAAAACTAAAATTAACATACCATATCACCCAGTTATACTGCTCCTTGGCATATACCAAAGGACTCATCCTACTGTAGAGACACTTGTACAACCATCTTTGTTGCTGCTTTTTTCACAATAGCTAAGAGATGGAAGCAACCCAAGTGCCCCTCAACTGACAAGTGGTTAACAAAAATGGGGGATATTTACACAATGGAGTTCTATTCATTGGTAAAGAAAGATGAAATAATGAAATTTGCTGGTAAATGGATGGATCTAGAAACTGTTATACTAAGTGAAGTAACAGACTCAGAAAAAACAAACGAGGTATGTTCTCTCTCGTATGTGGATCCTAGCACCAAATCCTTTTAAATTCCAGGTCCTTTTAATAAGATGATGCTATACAGCAGTGCCTTCTGCATGAAATAACTACCATCATCACGAATTTAGATGAGCCTGATTGCTAAACATAGTCACAATTTGGCTTGTTGATGGTTGTGCTCATGAATTAAAGGAGGGCCAAGCAGTGTCATTGGACCCTCACGGGATTATCCAGCCACTCTTCCCAGCCAACTGTGTGTAATTTGGCCCTAATCACATATGGCGGCCACCTGGATTTGGGGAGGGCTAAAGTATATAATCTGTAGAAGGCTAGGAAGAGAAGGCATGACCCATTCTGGGGAAAGGCTTTCCAGTGTGCATACCCTCAGGTCATACATACACCTCAGCAACCCCTCAGTTACCTCCCTGTCAGAATACCTGAAAGCAAATCCTGAATCCCTCACTCTAGAGTCCAGCCTTGGAAGACAAAAGAAAAATGAGGAGGGACCCAGCCTTTACTTCTGCTTCACATCTCCTATTCACGATTCAAGGATTTTCTTTCCCCCCTAGAGATAAGAGTTATGCAATTTGGGAGTCTTTTAGATGGACCCACTGAAGGGGTACTCCAATCGCCTCATCCTGCATCCCTGTTCAGCATGGAAGAACCAGAGCGGTCTGCATCCCAATTCCCTATTGGCAGAAGATGGTGTGATAAGAACAGGAGGTAGGAATTGGCTAGGCAGTTAGGGTAAAAGGACCCCCAAAGAAAAGTAGCTAGTTTCTTGGCTAGAACAATGTTCTTGGGCCTCTTAGCAACAAACTCCATTCCAAAGGCCAAAAAATGCTGAAAATATTTGGGAGCTAATCCTTAAAAGATTTTAGGGTTACCTCTTCAGAGGGGGGAAAATTAGAGTAGCCAAAAGCCCCATAAAAAATAAATCAAAGAAGAAGAAAGAATACATGAAGTTATCAGAAAAAAGTGATGGGGAGATATGGGAGGAGTTGGAGGGGAGGGAGTAGGCATGGATTTGATCAAAACACCTTATATGCATGTATGAAATTTTCAATAAATTGTTTTTAAAAATTCAAGGAATAGACATTTTTTTAAAGACAGGGTCTCACTAATGTAGCCCTGGGTGATCTGGAATTCACCATGTAAACTAGGCTAGCCTTGAACTCAGAGAAATTCACCTGCCTCTTCCTCTCCAGTGCTGGGATTAAAGGCATGTGTCACCATGCCCAGCCTAGAATAGACTTTTTTTTTTTTTGACAGGGTCTCCCTTAGTCCCAGCCCACCTGGAAGTCATTATGTGGACCAGGCTGGCCTCGATCTCAGAGATCTGCCTGCCTCTGCCTCTGCCTCCTGAAGACTGGGATTAAATGCACGCACCACCACCAAGTCCGGAGTGAATAAACCTTCTGTACTGTACCCTAGTCCCATGATAAAGAATGTGAACCCCAAACTTTCAGGCCCAAAGCTCTGTAAGACATTTATACTATTGTGCAAAGTCAGTGCTAATAGAATTTTATTATTGGGGTGAAGTCAGAGTGGGGGCTTATAAGTAAAAATTTATATTGAAAAAGTATCTAAAATCATTTTCATTGTTACATACAATTTTTGAATATTTGAGAATTAAGTCATGAGCTTAGGATCAGATCTAGTTCAGAAGAGACATCTATTGTGCTGTTGCCATGGTAATCCCTAGGAAGAGGCATGCAGGGGAACTGGAGCTTCGGATGCCCATCATGATCTAGAATCTGTCACCAGGCCTTCTCTGCATGAGATGGTTCCATAGTCTTGGCCACCAGTCCCCAGGTGACACTGTTCATTTGGAACCTCAGCACCCTGGGCCTTTGGTCCATCCCCTTCACTTCCTTTGCCATGTTCCTGTTTGGAGAGAGATAAGGAAAAGTTTCACTGAACAGTAAAATATCTCTGAACTCTGTCACGTAGAGACACTCATGTAAGAAGCGTCCCTTTAAGCAGTGTTAAGCTTCATACTCAACTTCTTGCTACCCAGCTCATGGCATCCTGATTGCATGGAAATAAGGCAAATAACAAGGATTGTCATAGGACAAGGGGCATTGGAAATGTAAGCCAGCCTGACCATGGGAACTCAGTGAAACTGCACTTCTTGATCACCAGATGGGAAAACATTCTTCTATACTGTTACGGTTTGGATATGAAACGCTCCCCACAGGCTTACATGCTTGAACACTTGGTCCTTAGCTGGTGGTGTTGTTTTGGGAAGTTGTGGAACTTTAGGGAGGTGGGGCCTAGAGGAAGAAGTGGTTGCTGGGGTGGGGGGCATCCAGTTTCCTGTTCTGACTCTATTTTCTGATTCATCAAGACATAAACAAGCATCCTTAAACTCCCACCATCATGGAGTCATAGCTGCCAAGCCTTCCCTGCCATAATGGGCCCATCAGCCTGTGAGCCTAAATAAACCATTTATTCCTTAAGTTGCTTCTTGTCAGGTATTTGGTTAGAATAACCAGAAATATAACTAGTAAAATATACGTCTCATCTCAGAGTCCTTGGTATCCTCACCAGGATTTCACCTACCTTACTTTGCATTCTATAGTACTCATTCAGCACATACTGATATTTGGGTTCAGTAAGACCAAAGAATACAGCAAATCTTCCACCAAGGAATTCACAAGCTAGAAAGAAGAACAGGCACTTGGGTAAATTGAATCAATAACTAAAGTGTGGTTGTCAGTCGAGATGCTAATGGTTTGAACTTGCTTGCAAATGATTCATTACAACACGTAGCTTCTGAAACAGCCAGGACCACAGACACTAGCCACCATGCTTGGGAAATCCTTATCATCTTAAGCCAAAGTTCCATGTGAAAGCCACTGCAGACTCTATTTCCCTCCACGCTCTCATCCCATATTGAGTTTTGTGTCTTTACCTGACCTACGGCTAGGATAGAAAACCTACAGTTAGGGCTCCTTCCCTCCAAAACACATCCTTTGCAAATAATCTTGCTCTATATAAGACACAGAATTCTCAAGAATACATCACTTTTTAAATTTTTGCCCATATATTATGTCAGGGTAGGACCAAGGCCTGAATATAATTTGTATTTATCATTGTTCCTCCACCGTTTTGGAAAATATGTATTTTTTTGAAGGTTCATTCCAACTGACTGAAGCACCCCATTATTAGTTTTACTGTAACTTAAAGAATCCCTGGCCACTCTCATGGTCACCCCAAACCGGCCTCAGCGAATTAGATCTTCATAGCTCTCTTAAGGACTCCTCTTACGTCACTGGAAGTAATCAGTCTCCCTGTCCCTAGTCTCCTGCTCTCCTATCCTGGTAATTGTGAGCACAAATTATAACTCTGGATATCTTTACTGGTCTGTATTATCCACTGAATATTGAATTCCATGAAAAGAGAGATTGTCATTTGTGTTTGTGACTCATAGTCCAACTCAGTGCAGAGCATGAAGTAGGCAGTCAGTAATGCTTTTTTAATGGATGAATAAAGATCAGTTTGAAAGAGCCACATTTTATATATTCTCAGAATATTGAAGTAATTTTCCTCCCTATCGCATTAGGAAACACACGGATGTTAGAGGGAAATGAGTAATTAGATGCTGCCAATTGTGTTCAAGAGAAAATGAGGGAAAAGTCAAGCAAAATAAGATTTAGTATTTCATCTGCTGTAAATAACCATATAGCCTATTCGTTATATCCCTAGGAGAGGTTAAAAAAATCATGTTTATGATAGAGTAATTATGATGAGGCAAGTTAGAACTTTGCCATACATTAGCATTCCCGAGTTCCAGGACAGCTGGGGCTACAGGAAGACCCTGCTTCAAAAAGGCAAAAAAAAGAAAAAGAAAAGAAAAACAACTTCAGAAGTTTATTCCAATTAAGGGTAAATTCAGGAAGGAGTGACTGTTGTCTTCAAATATTTGCAGCTTTGTCCTAATAAAGGGGACTCTGGATTGGTTTCGTATGGCACTAAGAATGATAACTATTATGGATGGTAAAAACCTTCAGAGAAGACAAAATTTGGGCCAAGATAAGAAAAAAAATTACTAACAATCTCTGTTTTGTGGGGCTCAATAGTCGTATCCCAGTAAACATGTCAAAATTATAATTTGTGTTCACAGTTGCCAGGACAGGAGCAGCATGGGGACTAGGGACAAAGGGACTCAGAAGCACACAAGGAAACCTTAAGAGAGCTTCGAAGGTCCAATTGGCTGAGGCCAGCTTGGAGTGACCATGACAATGGCCAGGGAGTCTTTACATTACAGTAAAACCAATAACAGGGTGATTCAGTCAGTTGGAATGAGCCTTCAAAGAGTATGCGTTTTCCAAAATGGTGGAGGAACAGTGCTGTATAGAAGCTACACTGGGGCCTCAGTCCACCTACCCTGATCACACTACCGCAGAAGGAAGAAAAACAGAAGATGGAAGGGCCTGCCTGCAGATTCGAGGCTCCACAGCTGTGGTAGGGTTAGAACACGGACTTAGAAGTGGCCAGATGCTTGTATCTTCAAATCCTAGGGAGTGGACTGGACTTTTGGAAGTCCCATCTTTCTTGGAGGGTAAATATAGTTAGGAGAGAAAAAAATAAACCTTAGCAGTACTTACTAGAAAATGAATTGCTTGCTATCTTTCCTGCCCAAAACCATATGTAAGGTCCCCATGAGAGTTTAGACTGTAAAAAAAAGAAAGAACTCAGGTTAAGATAATTAATAGCAGGAATAGTGGTTGAAGGGTCTTATGTAGAAATTTTGAAAATGCTTATAATGTTTAAAGTGACTGAATGACTCACTGACTGACTTCTGACTGTGTGTTGCCTACATATGGATCTAGAAAGCCAACAAGGCGTTGTCAGGTGCTTCACCAGAGAAGACAGCTCTGACAAACTTTTGCCGAATGAAAAGTCTTTTACTAGATGGCCAGCAACTACACAAGGGTGTCAGAACCTAAGTGCAGTCCGGAGCCTTCTCTAGGGTAAGCTTTTATATAGAGAAACCATAACCAGGGGTGAAAATTTTAAGTTCCCAAGCTTACAGGTGGAAAACACCCTTAACAATTCCTGTTCTAATAAGCAACAATTACTATTTTGCAGAAACAGGCCCAAAAGCCATAACCTACAGAAGCCATAAATCTGCAGTTAGCAGATGCACTCTGGAACACGCTGACCCATTCCTAAGACAACCTAGGGTCCTGCTGATGTGTGTTCCCATACCCTGGGCCAACTGCCTGATGATTTCAGAGACTAGAGTCAGCCTAAACTTCATCACGGCATAGCTACGGTCAAGAAGGTACCATATCACAAAGGAGAGCAAGAGTTTAAAGCCATATTGTCTCCGGGCTTTGTCTGCCTCAATCTCTCATCTCTTCAGGCCCCACACCCACTAATATTGATATGCTATGCTTACAGGGTCAAGTGTTGAATTTTGTTCATCTTTCTCTTCTTCCTCTTCCTCTGTGCTATATTCTTCCATGGTGTCTCCATCCACAAAGTAGATAATCCTTTTGGGAGTAGTTTTTTTATAATATCCACTCATTTCTGATTCTAACTGCTTGAAATGGTCTTTATCCATAAGTAACTTGAAAACAGGCTGCCATAGGACAAATTGCCCTGGGCAGTGTTTATATATAGCCAGGAGGGATCTGCTTATTTTCAAGTATGGTAAAGACAGAGTTGCCAGGAAATCACATCTGCCACTCTCATCGATTCTTTAAATCCAAGAAAGGAATGTTGAGTTCTGTATGAAAACAGAAGAGATTCAAGTAGAAAAAAATATGATTATTGGGTCTTCAAACAAAAATTTCAGCATGGTTCCCTGATCCTTTAATAACCACAAAACCCACAACTGTTAGGAGAAAGGGGCCAATGCTCTGCAGAAGTTCCAACATCACTTCAATTAATATGGGAGACAACACAGGGGGTGTGTACAAGCACAGCCTCTGCACAGACAGGAGAAATATTTGCAAAGCATCTATCAGTAATGTTCAGAATATGTAAAGAATTATTACAATTCAATAGGCAAAAGATAACCCCCATATGGGCAAAAGATTTTAGCAGACTACCAAAGAGGAGTCAGGCAGCAAATAACATGAAAAGATGCTCCGAGTCATTAAAGAACTGCAAATTGAAACCATAACAAGATGTCATAATATGCCCACTAGAAAGGCTAAGGTTGAAAACAATACTAGGTACTGGGTAGTTTATGAAGCATCCAGAGCTCTATGCACTGCTATATGTGTGTGTGTAGCGGGGAGCTATTGTTTAGATCTGGAATATTCCCCAACAGTCTAGGTGTTAAAGGTAAGATTCCCAGCCTGTAATGTTGCTAGGAAGAGGCAAAACTTTCAGGAAGTGAGGTCTAAAGGAAGGAGCCTAGATCACAGAGGGTGCGCCTTTGAAGGGGATCTTCGGACCCCAGGCTGTTTCTTTATCTTTGCTTCCTAGTTGTTATGACATGAACAGGATTCCTCTACCACGTCCCCACCATGATGTGCTGTGTCACCAAATGTCTAAATGACTATGGCCTGAAACCTTTAAAACCGTGAGCCAAAAATCTTTTCTTCAATCACTTTTTAAAAAATATTTTATTATTTTTATTCTACATGTATGAGTGTATTGTCTGCATGTATGTAAGTGCACCTGTGTCATGCAATGCCCTTGGAAGACAGAAGAGGGCATTGGTTCCCCTGGAACTGTACCAATTACTGTTAGCTGCTATGTGGGTGCTGGGACTCAAACCCAGGTCCTCTGCAAGAGTAGCCAGTGCTCTTACTGCTGAGTCATATCTCCAGCTCCTTCTTCAACCACTTTTCTAAACAATTTGATAGGTTCTTGAAAGTCGAACATACACTTAGCATTTAATCTTATAATTTGTTCCCTTGATATTTACCCAGAAGGAATGAGAACATCTTTCTAAATACATGAATGCGAGTGTTCACATTACTTTGATTTATGAGTGTCCCAAACTGAAAGCAATTCAAATCACCATCTAGTGACAGAGACATAAACGAAAGGTGGTTTATATCTAGTCAATGAAATGCAACTGAGTAAGTAAAAGTGGCAACTAACAATTGCAGCATGAGAGACTCTCAAGAGGTTTGTGCTACGTGAGAGAAGCCAGACATTGTATGGTGTAATTCCTTTTATGTGATGTTTTAGGAAAGAGAAAATACGGATGTGAAAAACAGATCAGTGCTTGCTATAGGTGAGGGTTAGGGGAGAAAAAGATTAACTATAAAGGGCCCAAAGAGAACTCTTTGGATGAAAATGTTTTAATAGATGTTATAATAGAGCAGGAGTTACTCAGCTGTATACTGTCAAAATTAAACAAATTCTACATGAAAATTAGTATTATTATATGTATGTATGTATGTATGTATGTATGTATGTATGTATGTATTGGGGGTGGTGTGTCATGGCATGAGTATGGAGGTCAGAGGACAATTTGTGGGAGTTTGTTCTCTTTCCACCATGCAGTTCCCAGGATTGAATTCAGGTTGTTAGGCTTAGTGGCAAAAACCTTTACCTGCTGAGCCATCTCACTGACCCTAATTTTATTAGATCTCTCAAGCTGAAGAGCTTGGTATCAGGGTACCTATATTTAAATCTTATTATTTAATATATCCCTGTCATGGTTTGCTCATCTATTAAATGATAATACAAGAGGATATGCAAGCTTATATAGGCATTAATTCTTAATCGATGTGTTGTCTCTCTTTGGAACTTTTATTTGTTATATTTATTAGGTCTATAACTGCCCAGAGCAGCTTCCCTGTTTCATAATCTTGTTTTTTGCTTTTTTAAATGCTTTATGTTTTCGGAGATTCCACGCCTCCCTTTTCCACCTCATCTCTGAGGTGATCCAGGCAGGAACTCAGGACAAGAATATGGAGCCGGGAGCTGAAGCAGACACCGTGAAGGAATGCTGCTCACCAACTCGCTCCCCCGGCTTGCTCAGCTACCTTTCTTATACAACCCAGGCCCACCTGCCCAGGGATGGCACCACTACATTCCTGGGCTGGGCTTTCAGGCATCAACCAGCAATCAAGAAAATGGCCCAGAGGCCAATCCAACAGAGGAAATTCCTCACTTGAGGTCCCCCGTTCTCCAGGTGTGTCAAGTTGACCACTGACACTAGCTGGCATGGAGGGAGCTGAGGAAGGCACTGGACTCTGATCTCTGGTCTCCACACACAAACAGATGTGCACTCGTACCCACATATACACACAAAACATATGTGCATCCCACACTATGTTAAAATAAAAAATAAATAGATGATAAAGGAATGAAAGGAAAGGAAGGAAAGGTAGAAGAGCGGACCGAGAAAGGAAGGGAGGGAAAAAGAAGGAAGGAGGAAGGAAGGAAGGAAGGGAGGGAGGGAGGAAGGAAGGAGGAAGGAAGGAGGAAGGAAGGAGGAAGGAAGGAAGACAGGAAGGAAGGAAAGAAGGGAGGGAGGAAGGAAGGAAAGAAGGAAGGAAGGAGGAAGGAGGAAGCCCAGGTATCAGAATAAGAGAAAACACAGTGTGAACTGAGGCCTAGACAGCTCCTGGGGGCTGCAAAAGCAGATACAGGCCTTGATGCTGGAATTTTAATATCACCACAGAGAGGAGAGTCCAAGTCACAGATGTAAAACAAAACAGTAATGGAGAGAGTAAAATGATGTTTTCAGACCCATAAAAACAATCAACCTGGGGTTGGAAAGATGGCTCAGTGGTTAAGAGCACTGGCTGCTCTTGCAGAGGACCCAGGTTCAATTCCCAGCATTCACATGGCAGCTGACAACTGTCCCTAACTCCAGCTCTAGGGGATCCGATGCCCTCTTCTGACCTCTGTGAGCACTGCCCAGCATGGGTGCACTTACACACATGTGGGCAATACACTCATATGTATACAATAAAAATAAATAAAACATTAAAACACGCACACACATGCGCGCGCGCGCACACACACACACACACATACACACACACACAACCAACAATTTCTGCTAACCATCTTCATTCCAAGATTATTTGTCAAAAAAGGGCAGGAGCTAAGAGTAATAAGTAAGAAACGAGTGACTAAAAACAGGAAGCTAAATGACAGTAAGTACTGATTCTTATACAACTTCAGTGGGGACAGTATAAGGTTAAAACAGTATTAAATATTTGACAATAACAAAAATAATGAGTTCTTGGCTTCTATGCATTTTTTTACGGACATGTTGGATAAGGTTGTTAGGAACACATGTGAGCAAGGTAACTAGGAAAACAGTTGAATTAGAACACGTAGCTTCACAACTAACAGAAGAAGAAAAAAAGGAAATCAACAATCATCCTAACAGAAGGCAGGAAAGGACAGAGAGTCAATGGGAAGGTGAACAGAGACATTAATGTAGTATTTGGAATGAATCAGTGACTGTACAAATGTCGATCACTGTCAGCATCTTATTAAAAAAATCTGAAACTGAATTCAGAAAATATTTTATGGTCACTACAAACATAGCTGAGCACACACACACACACACACACACACACACACACACACACACACACACTCACATATAAAGTTACCTGCTATTCTGTTCTTCGTGCCCTAAGTCACCAAGTCTTATTGGCGCAATGCTGAGTTTATACCGCTGGTAAAGTTCCAAAATGCCCGGAAGAGAAATGGGTTAAATTCACTTTCTGCACCAAGATGATATGATTCTGCCCCTCAGGGGTCACTGACGAGACCTGAATGGTCCACCTGTGTCCCCTGACTCAGTGCCAGTCTCTTCCATAAGAGCCTCAGGTAAGCAACAGAAAAGTTACCATTTGGTCTCTGATGACGAAGAACACTAAATAAATAAATAAATCGCCATTTTAATTGTTAAGACAAATAATATATGAAGCATGACAGTATTAAAAAATACTATAATTGTCATGAGAAATAATATTCTACAACAATCCAAAAAAAGTAAATATTTTCAAAAAGCAACTCACATAAGCCTTTTCTTTCCTTGCCATTAGTTAAGGTTGGTGTTCTGTGTACCACACATTTGGTGCTAGAAAGTTATTCCACAGATGATAAATTAGTCAAACTAGGCTGGGGCCAAACTGAGCTGGAGTGTGCTGACGTGGACCAGTTCTCTTGTGTTTGTCTTACGGGGTGCGATGTGTTTGAGTTGTGGGAAGGTCTGCTATATTTATACAGTCAGCATTAACCAAGCCCAGTGCCTCTCAAGCTTGTCTTTATATTAGAATCATCTGGGGGGTCTTTACAAACCTCCAAACAGACACACTCCAGACCACTTAAATCACACTCAGTCCTGGGGTGGGATACAGGCATCTGAATTTTGTGAAGCTGCCAGTGAGATTCCACCTTGTAGGCAAGTTTGGGGACAAGCATGTCCTTAGGAGTCCGGGAAAAAAGTAACTCCCAAGTTGAAACAGAAAGACTTGTGAGAATCAGATGCAGTGAATTATAGAAAGCTTAAATTTCATGCCAGTTCCAAGGTGCTTTGTGTTATTTTCCAGGAAGGTTCATTACTTTTTACTTGAGCTGTCCCCTCCTGCCCCATCCCAAGCTAAAAAGCGTGAATATGAAAAACTTTGAATAAGGTTCAACAGTCTCATTATAGCCAACTTTAAGACCATCCAAACAGGGGCTGGAGAGATGGCTTTGTATTTAAGAACACTGTTCTTGCAGAAGACCCAGGTTCAAATTCCAGCACCCACATGGCAGCTAACAACTGTCTGTAGCTCCAGTTCCAGGGGATCTGATGGCCTCTCTGTCCTCCACGGGTATTGCACAACACGAGTGCACTTACCTACATGCAGGCAATACACTCATACACATAAAATAAAAATAATAAGTAAAATATTTTTAAAAATCCAAACATACATTTCCAGACTAAGTGGAGTACACACACACATACCCGCCATCCACACAACCTCGCTCACCTCTACTTTTTATAAGCCAATGATACCCATCAACTCTCTGAAGGAAATACTAGTCTCTGTTCTTTGTAATAACAGTGCTGCACATTAAATAGATATATACATCTTTAATTCAATGGGCTCTCTGGGAGAGTCAAGGATAGGGAGAGACTTGTAGCTCACAGTTGATTTAGAGAAGGCTTTTCCGCCACCTAATGGGCATTTAAAAATACACCACACAGAATTCATTTTTGTAATCCCAGTGCCTGTCATCCAACTCAATACTGAGCAATTTGGTAGGTTTACTTTTGAAAACCTTGGCAGCATTTTTATCTTCACACTAATTCCAAGATCAAATATTCCCTGCATCAAGCCCTTTAACCTGTTTAATTCTTATAAGCATCTAATTTCCTGAAAACCTCAGTTCTGGGTGATTAAAGATGCTTCCCAAGTACATAATGCAAGCAGCAGATGGTAGCTGTGTCCAACCTTTCAATATTAGGATAACTCTTGATGATCCTTTGGCCCCAAGGTGGAAATACTGTCTACACACAGATGACTCAACATTTCTGTTCTTCACATCAGGCTTTTGCTCTGGATCTATTTCCAACTGCCTCTGTGAAATCTTTTCTTGGATGTTTAATAGACTTCCTGGTCCTGATTATTCTACATAGTTCACACACATGCACTCACGTGCGTGCACACACACACACACACACACACACACACACACAATCTACTTCAGCTATCTTGACATCTCAATACACAGCAAGTTGGTTCTCTCATTCAGGCCAAAATCATTAGGTTTTTTTTATTCTTCTTCAATTCACATTAAATGTCAGGAAATTATTTTGGGTATTTCCAGAATCTTAAAACTACCACCACCCTGGTCTAAGCCTGTCTTTATTGTAAGAATTACCTTAGGCTTCCTATATAGTCTAGACTTCAAAGAAAAAAACCAGCCAGAATTGCTCAATCGTGTCTGATCATGTCACTCCTGTTTAAAACTCTCCAGTAGATCATCTGAAGTCAGAGTCAACACAGGGGCCTCTGAGGTTGTCTGGGTTTGTCTAGGACTACTGTGCTGGAACCCCATTGGTACCTAATAAGGCTGTTGCTGCCTTGAAACCACAGCAACTGTGATCACCTGCACTTGACCCTTACAAGATTGGTCAACACCCTTGTGGAAGGAGGTGAGGAGGGTCATCAGTCCCTCACCTGAGACTCTATTCCCACCCCATGCACTCTCCACAGCTACATGTAATCCTGCCCTAGCTGCTTGACTTGGAAGTGCCAGACTATAGGAGGTGGGATGCTGACTGGTGTGGGAACTTGGGCTGCAGCCAGCCCTCAGGGTGTCACTCAGGCAGAGGTGCAGCTGCACTCCAGTCATCTGCATACCTGTAAGTAATCCCCATACTCATTGGTCCACTAAGCTAGACTTAGATTGAATCTTCTTTGGTCTGCCTTTTCCATCTGTGGTGACTAGACAAAATCTCCGGGAAAAGTCCTGTAAATGACTGTTCTCCCTCATGACATGACTCCAGCCACGCTGTTTCTTACCGTAGTCCTTGTAGTACTCTCTCCCTAGGACCACGGTGCTGATGGCTCCCCACATTCCTCTTTTTTTGGACTTTGTCTCTTTTTGCTTCAGGCCATTAACCCAAACACCCTATCCAAGGCTCCTGCTCCTCAACGTCTTTGAAGGCAACTTTCCAGTCTCTCCGTGAAGACCCTCCTTCCTCCAACAAAGTCAGTTTTCTTCTTACATCACCTCATGTCACCCTGCCTCCCTCTTCCTTGGTTTTGACCAGTGTTTGCTGCTGTTTTCTTCTGCCTCTATGACGTCCTGATGCATGGCTGGAGTTCACTATTCATTTAATAAATAGTTAAATTTAATGAGAGAGGGAAGGTACTACGTAGCTGTAGCTGACTGCAAAATTTAAAACTGTCTTATTTCCAGGTTTTAAACTATTCTTTTAACATTTTTCTTGTCTTATATAATCTTTATAT